CCGTTGTAATATGTTGGCCCGCAGATTTGCTAAATGTACTGACGAAGCAAAGATTACGCTTTTTAAAGCCTACTGTCAGTCATTTTATACGTGCAGTCTGTGGGTTAGCTTTACGCAGAGGACATACAATGATCTTCGCGTACAATATAATAACGCGTTCCGGGTATTGATGGGGCTGCCGCGTTTCTGTAGCGCTTCTGCTATGTTTGCGGATGCTCATGTTCGCCGCCATAATGCGTAAACGTTGCGCTTCACACCTCAGGCGCGTTCGCGACAGCCCCAACAGTATCTTGCGCGCGTTGGCATACCGTTGGGACTCGCCGATGTTTGCTCGATGGATACGGCTGCACGCAGTCAAGTTGTCATCTTGCTGGCAGCGGCGGGTGCCATGTTTATTTGTATGTGTGTCTTGACTGTTTGTCTGTGTCTGTGTTTTATGTTGAATTGTTAAATTACTAACTTTAGTTATAAGCTCAATTGTTACTAACCAATATGGATCATGATGTCCGAAATAAACGTTCATTATTATTATTATTATTATTATTATAAACTGAAGTAACAACCGATAGAGTAAACGAGTCATGCAGTGGACAACGCGGCTAAGTAAACTCAGACAGGGAGACTTAGCAAACTCAGTGCGGGACATTAAATGTAGGTGAAAACTGGATACGTAAAGCCAGAGACTGGCTAAGTGCGCTTCTTGAAAAATGCGGATATAGACCATGCAGTGCAGGTACAAATAAATGAAATGAATCTCTTTTTTTATAGAATAAGGGTGACAAACGAACACACAGTCCAGCTGATGGTAAGTGGGTCCAGTGACCCATAGACATGTACATCTATCCTTTATTAATAATCAAAATGCAGAAGTGTTGCCACTCCTGATGACTAAGATGGAATGCCTCTTTTCCAGTAAAATGAGTTTCCGATTCTCTATATTCATCATACGAAACAGAAGAGTTGAACTGTTGTATTCTGTGAGAGCATGGTCCTTCCCCGGTCGACGCTTCAACCATATTATCAATCCATTTATGCTTTAACAATAATAATATAGCTTTAATATTATCTCTCTATAAATTAAATGAAAAATACAAGCTACTGTTCCTTAACAATATCGACCAACCATCTGATACCGAAATGCCTCGAGCAGTTGTTCTGACAAAATGTTATTTGTGACATTGATTGATACGAGTAGCTTTATTTATTTTTCGAGGACGATACTACGCTTCAGTTTCGTAATAAATTTTATGAAATAACATTTCATATTTATTAGTCATTATTTTACCTACATTAATAATGTTTAATACTAGTTACATTTTGTTAGAAAATTATTTAATTTTGAGAGGGAAACCAGGTGTTTCTTATCGCGTCAAATTCAGGCTTTAACTGTGCAGCATTAACTGTGTAGAATAAATAACTTGAAACAACCAAATATAAAATGGAAACTTATTTTTAAAGATAATGTTGTAACTCTTCAGACTGAAATAAAACAGGTAATAGTAATCTTATAATATGTCTAGAAATGTTAAATTTAAGTGCCTAATTATGTTTGTGGCGTGTTGCAATTTTTTTTTCTTTTTTTAAAGGGGTCGTCACGGAAACATGTGTACAAAACCTTCATATGTTATTAAATTTAAAAAATAAGAACATATTGATTTTTTATAAAACGAGTGACAAACGAATTTATAAGTACACACTGCGAAGATGAAGTGATAGTGGACACCTTCGAACAATGTAAGCTGCCGATGCGTTGTTAACACTAAGGCCTCACATGAAATGGCCTATAATTATACTGGCTCTCAATATCCTTCAGATCGAAGCACATAAGTGCTAGGTCTGCTATTTGGCGGCAAAAATTGTAAGAGGGTGTTACCATCCAGACGGACTTCTGGACAGAAAAGGAGTCCTACCACATAAATATGGATGCATATGATACAACTGCGTGGCGAAATAGTCTCTGCTTCAAAACTCACTCAGAAATTACGTCTATTCGCAGCATTGGGACATATAAATACTATTCTACGTTTTATTTTTAATGCGGTAGTATATTTGAAAAAAAAAAACAATACAGATAATAAACTGGTGCATACATTTCTGGTGCTCAACATTTTCTAAAACAAATCGAAAGATGGGTTTTGACATTTCAGTCAATACAAGTGTATTTCATTTACATTTGGTGGCAAATAAAAGATGAATTAATTATTTTAATATTTTACTTATACAAGACTGTTGCTACTATTATGCCACGTTACAAGTGAGAGTTAACAGATATTGTACTGTCACCGATAAATTGCAATTCGAAGCGCCTACACTCTATTGCTATTTAATTTTAATAGGCGCTTCGACAACAAGTCTATCTCAATAAAGCTGGAAGAAAAGATAGGACAAGTTGCGGTGAGATATAATGGGATTAACTGAGGTCCGAAGAGAGGGGGAGGACACGGTAATCCCTGAATCCTACAACTTGCTCTATTACCGGGAGGGCGACCATCTGTCCCAAGGAGGTGTCGGAGTTAACGTCCACAAGTCTCTCAAAGTAAAGATTGTGAGTGTATCGACGAGGGTTGTATACCTTATACTCAGAATCACCAAACTGTATCCGTTGAAGGTCATACTAGCTAACGCATCAACCTTGGCACATCTCGATGAGGAGGTGGAGGAAATGTATGACGATATCTCCAAAGCCATGCATTCCCGGAAAACCCACTATACGGTGTTAATGGGAGACTTCAACGCAAAACCAGGCACAAGAGAGAACGAGAGCTGAAGGTAGGGATATTCGGAAAAGGGTAACAGAACCCAAGGGCTAACCGCCAGCCGACTTCATTGAGAAATAGGGAATCTTTATGATGAACTCTTTCTTCCCGAATCGGTTCCACAGAACGTCGACCTAGTCAAGCCCCGATGTTTCGACAAAAATTGAAAAAGACTTTTTTTTATAGGAGAGGGGGCAAACGAGCATGCGGCTCTCCTGATGGTAAGTGACTACCGCCGCCCATGAACAACTGCAACACCAGAGAAATTGCATATGCATTGCCGGCCTTTTAAAAAGGAGTACGCTCTTTTCTTGAAGGTCCCTAAGTCGTATCGGTCCGGAAAAATCGCTGATGGTAATCGATTCCACAAGGAAGTCGTGCGAGGAAGAAAACATATTCTAAATCGCACAGTGGTAGACCGCCAATCATCCAGATGGTGTGGATGGTATCGGGAGTTCTGCCGCGATGTGCGTTCGTGAAATTTGGCGGCTGGGATTAATCCGAACAATTCCTCAGAGCACTCCCCATGGTAGATGCGAAAGAAAACGCAAAGGGATGCAACATCTCTTCGCAGTGCCAATGAATCAAGCCGATCGGAAAGGGCCCGATCGTCGACAATTCGAGCCGCTCTGCGCTGGATGCGGTCAAGTGGAAGGAGCTGGCACTGTGGAGCCCTTGCCCAGAGATGGGAACAGTATTCCATGTGAGGCCGAACCTGTGCCTTGTAAAGTTGCAGGCGGTGTGTCGGCATGAAATACTGTCCCGCTCTGCTGAGTACGCCAAGCTTTTTAGGGGTCAATTTGGCCTTCTCTTCCAAGTGACCACGAAACTGCACGTCACTCGATATGTCGACTCAGAGGATACCGATACTGGCTAAGGCAAGAAGGGGAGTGCCTTGAAACTGAGGAGATACGACAAAGGGGTTCTTTTTAGCGGTAAACGCGCAAACTTGTGTCTTCTAAGGATTAAACTGGACTAGATTTAGTCGCCCCCAATCCGAGACCTTGTTCAGCAAAGACTCGACTTCAGACACAAGTTTGTTCCGGTACTCGGCGACGTTTTCCCGAGGAATATTGGCACGGCAGGTGTATAGAGCATCACCAGTGCTGTCATCCGCATAGCAATGAATGTTACCAGTTAGCAACATATCATTGATATGCAGAAGAAACAGCGTTGGTGATAGCACACAGCCTTGTGGTACACCTGCGTTAATAGGCTTGTAGTCAGAACATGCACCGTCTACAACGACCTTGATGCTCCGATCTGCTAGGAAGCTGGTGATCCAATTGCACAATTTCTCGGGAAGCCCATAGGAAAGGAGCTTCGAAAGAAGCGCTTTGTGCCAAACCCGATCGAAGTCCTTCGCAATATCCAGACTAACGGCCAACGCCTCCCCCTTGGACTCTACTGCCTCCGCCCATCTTTGGTTCAGGTAGAATAGAAGATCACTAGCTGATCGACCCCGACGAAAACCGTATTGGCGGTCACTAATCAGCTAGTGATCCTCAAGGTACCGGATGAGCTGGCAGTTAATAATGGATTCCATTATTTTGGAGAACAAGGAGGTGATCGCGATAGGCCTATAGTTGAACGGGTCTGAGCGGTCGCCTTTTTTAGGGATCGGGTGGACAAAAGCTGTCTTCCATGAATTCGAGACTACGCCTTGGGAGTAGGAGCACCGGAAAAGACGCGTTAGGACCGGTGCCAACTCCGGAGCACACGTCCTCAGCACAATTGGGTGGATTCCGTCAGGCCCACTCGACTTCTGGATGTCCAGGTAGAGAAGTGCTTTGCGAACCGAGCGCTGTAAGAACAACACATCCGGCATGGAGCACTCACACCGCGGGATGGTCGGCGGTGTTTTCCCCCCGTCATCAAGAGTCGAGTTGGATGCAAAGAGGGAGCATAAAAGGTCGGCTTTGTCTTTTGCGTCTTGGGCCAGTGAGCCGTCCTCCCTGTGCAGATATGGTTGTTAGGGTCCTGGTCACGTGGTTAAATGAAAGTGGAATGTATATTCTTATAGGGCTGATATAATCATCCGTACTTTACAATAACCCGGTCTACTTTATAAAATTATTATTATAAATTAAATTAGTGTTGTCGTCCGACCGCGGTGGAGTATCGTCCCAACCTCCTCTTGCCACGTCACTGCCGCTCGACGAGACGTCCTCCCGCGCGTCTCCACCCGCTCGTACATGCAACCGGTTGCCAACATGCTCCCCAGGTTGAAGTGTGCAGAGAACTTCAAAAATCTGGAAGGGGACAGATGTTATTAAAGGCTCTTCGAATTGTGCCTCTCCTTGTCTTCAACTCGGCGACTCTGGAAACGCCGTCGCTGCCAGGATAGAGCTGCTTGACTCGTCCTAAGGACCACATCAATGGTGGGAGAGCTCTTTCCTTGACAAGAACAAGAGATCCCAATTTCAGCTCCTTGGTCGACGACCGCCATTTTACCTTTTGCTGGAGCAGATTGACATACTCTAGTGAAAATCGGCTCCAAAAGTGCTGCTTTATAAGCTCGATTCTCTTGAATCGATCAAGGCGGGTTATATTCGCATCACCTATCTGTGGTTGAGGGATAGCAATTAGTGAGCGTCCAATCAAAAAGTTGACAGGAGTCAATGCGGAGAAATCTGAGGGATCAGTGGAAATAGGGGTGAGGGGCCGAGAATTCAAAACAGCCTCTATTTGAGTGAGGCATGTAGCCATTTCCTCATAAGTTAAATGAGTGTTTTGTAATAAACGCTTAAGATGGTGTTTTGTAGAGCGTACTGCTGCTTCAGCTAAGCCATTAAAGTGAGGGGTATAAGCGGGAATAAATTTAAATTCGATGCCTTCTTGAGCCATTTGACCTTCAAGTTCCGATTGAAGAAGAAATTGAGCCAGCTCGTTGCTTGCACCGATAAAATTCGAACCGTTATCTGACGTGATGCTCTTGGGCTTTCCGCGACGGGACACAAAGCGATTTAAAGCGGCAATATATGCTTCGCTGGATAGTGCCGTAACGAGCTCAATATGACAGGCCTTTACCGAACTGCAAATAAAGATTGCCAAAAAAGATTTAATAAGTTTACAACCTCTGCCCTTACGGTCTGCTATCAACACTGGCCCGGCGTAGTCGACGTTGCAATGAAGAAAGGGAAACTCTAGTTCGGTACGCGAGGCGGGGAGTTGGCCCATGATGGGCTGAACAGTTTCCGCCCTGTACCGGAAGCATCGCATACATTTGTTAACTGTAGCTTTAGCCAGGTTTTTGCCACCTAAGGGCCAATAAGTTTGCTTAATATTTCCTAACAGAAGTTGTGGCGGTGCATGTAAATATTTTAGATGAAAATGTTCAAACATAAGCTTAGTGAAATGATGTTTGCTTTTTTTTTATATAGAGTAAGGGTGTGAAACAATCATACAGTCCACCCGACTGCAAGTGGATACTGTGGCCCATAGACATCTACATCAATCCTCGATGAAGAATCAAAATTAAGATGCGTTGTCATCCCTGAGGACTACGATGGAATGCCTCGTTTTCAGTAAAAATGGTCCACGGTTCTAGCTGCTACTTTACGCTGGTATTCTGTGAGAGCGTGGTCCTTCCCCGGTCAAGGCGACCCATTCGTGCTACAACCATAATATATAGCTGTAGCATGGCTCTACCACTTAATATAAAAAATAAAAAACTTTGTACTGTTTGCGTCCTATATCATTCATTCGATTACGATAAAACTTGAATAAGTTGTTGTGTGTGTGCCTGCGAAGTTTTCTGACAAAAGAGGCATCACAAGGCATGGCGGGCACAGCTATTAATCAATACACATAATAAAACTGTAGTGTATGTCTGTAATATCGACATAACTACCTTATATTGAGCTGAAGCGATTATTTGAATTCCATTAATTAGTTCGAGCTGGCGCGTAACATTTATTATGCTTATAATTTATCGTTATATTACCTAAATAGTTTTGTAAAACTATAACGAACGATGTCAATCACCCAATCTTATAAATCTCCTTTTATGCTTTAAAATTTTTATAATAGATGCTTACATCATTGAAGCAATACAAACCGACATAATTGCGCAAAAGTTGTTTTTTATCTTTGATCTTAAATAATTTACGTCGCGGACACAGGATTTTATGAGACTTTTGAGACAACTTTTAAAACGCCAAATTGCAAGTATATACAAAAAGTCAGCTTACTATCTCTCATTCCGAGGTAGCAGCCGTAAAGACTATAAAAACTCTAAGACTCAAAGAATTTCCCATTCTGAACTCGTTGCTAAAAATGTCCAACTTCAGAATGTTAAATTATTTCATTATTTTTAGTTGTATGAATTCTGCTTTTACTTTTATTAAATTTATTTTCTTCATAAATAATAGAATATTGTAATGGCAATGTCTTTTAAATAGTTACATTATACCCTTCATATCCTATTTTCCCCTTAGTAGAGCTACCTCTGAAGTGTAGCCTTTTTTTATAGGATAGGGTGACAAACGAGCACACAGTCCACCTGATGGTAAGTGGTTGCTGTGGCCCATAGACATCTACATTTATCCTCGTATGCGAATCAAAATGCAGATGGGCTGTCACCCGTGAGGACTAAAATAGAATGCCTCTTTTCCAGTAAAAAGGTCTCCGGTTCTCTACACTCACCATATGAAACACAGCAGTGTTAAACTGCTATTTTACGCTGGTATTCTGTGAGAGCGTGGTCCTACCCCGGTCGAGCCGACCCATTCGTGCTAGAACTATACTACTTACATAGCTGCAGCATGGCTTTACCACGTAAAAAAAGCCTATTTAATAATTATAAAAGATTTAATAAAATTAATTCTTAATTATTAAAGATTTTTTTAAATTTATTCTTACAAAGAGTGTTACATTATTTACATTTTAAATTTTGCCAAACTGTAAGACAGATTGTCGGCAACAGTTTAATCGCAACAGCTTATCGTTTCACACTCCTTAATAACAATATAAGTTACTTACAAATACTTAAATTAACACATAAATAATTAAAGAAAAAATCAGTACTAAGGACACAACGACAGGTAATAGTTACTCAAGATGGTTTTGAGCTGCCACTTAGTTAAGCTTTCGTCATAAATATCCGCCACCTCATTACACAAGGTCGGAGTTATCCATTGCCTTGTACGTCGTCCAAAGTAATTTTCAACCCTAGGTATGAGATATTTCCTCCTTTGTGTAACTCGGCTCTTCGGCATTATATATGTCTTAGGTTTCTTAAATGTTACCATACCATGCCGTTCTAATATGATGATGGATTTTACTTTCTTGTCTATGGGAAAATATCGCATTTCATACATTGAAAAAGAAAAAAAACATACAACCGAATTGTAAACCACCTCGTTTTTCGAAAACGGCTAAAAATAAAAAAAAACACATAAAAGTAAAATTAGGAAACATAAATATTAATAATGTCCATCAAACTAATTAAGGCAAGTCTCTAGCCATCTGCGCAGGATAGGAATATAGCGTCCTAGTTTTTAAGCAAGCACAGGTGCATTCTCTGTTCCCTCACTCTCACAGTCTGATGGGACGGCAAGCCGATACGACCGGAGAGAGATCAGGCGCAGGACCAATGACTTTACGTGCTTTCCAAGGCACGTGGGTGAAACACCACAAATTTCTTACTCCAGACTATTAGATACTGAGAATTTATTGACAGAAAAACTCAATAATTGTTATTAGTTGGTCCAACCCGGGATTCGAACCTGGGACCTCATGACCACCAGTCGCGTTTACGACTGCTATATTGACAAGACAGTACTTGGAATAATATAGATCATTGATAAATCTATATTTCCAAATGAAATACCGCAAAGTACAATTCACGCACATCAGTTTCGTGTTTGAACTTGTGAATATGGAAATCGGGCATGAAACAACGATTTTGTTATTCAAATTTGTATTTGCATCCCGCGCAAATTCCCCTTTTGTGTAGTTATCATTACTGTACGTCGTCAACCGCGGTATTATTATAAAAAAGCTACCTTTTCCGCGCAACTCTGTCCATGTAGAAATAGAAATGTCTTCATGTTAATTTTCGCACAATTTATTATTTCTTGGTAAGAGTATTACATGCAGTAGTCTAAATATCATCCAAATATTTTTTTTTTTAGAATTGGGGTGATAAACGAGCATAATTAAGTGGATGCCATGGCCCAAAAACATCTACTATTTATCCTCTATTAAAAATCAAAATGCAGATGCGTTGTTACCCTGAGGGCTAAGACGGAATGCACACTGACAAAATGCACATGACACACCTCTCTCGCTTCCTCCACATCCATATACCTACGCATTCACACTCGACGGTTAAAGGTTCTCTTGATTTGGCCCATTTTTAATATATCGCCAATTTGGTCGATAAACTTTCGCCTAGGGCGACCCTTCCTGACTATGCCGTTCACCTCTGCAACATAAATTTGCTTTGTCACTCTTTCCTCATTCATTCTTTCTACATGGCCAAACCACCGAAGCATTCCTTTCTTAATCCTGGTCACAACATCATCTTGCAAACCACACTCTTCTCTTATTAAACAATTTCTCACTCTGTCATTCAGCTTCATCTTCATCGCACTAAATATTGAAGATTCCTTTTTATTAGATAGATTACAGTTTAGGGGTGGTCCCATATAAATATGGAGATAAAATTTCAGTAGTAAGTGGGGTAAAATAGGGGATGAAGTTTTTAATGTAACTATTTGGGCCACATTGAGATAGTTAGTAGACTGTCAGCGTTCGTCCTGTGCGCTTGTGTCGAAAATCGAAAATCAGTGTATTTTTGTAGTATTAAGAAGAAAAGGATGAAGCGTTGTGTTTTATCGTGCAAAAACTCAGATAGACGCTGTGATGCTATGGATGGCATCATATTTCATTTGTATGTAATTTTGTACCTAATTTATTAAAATAGTTTTTGAAAAATCTCTGCGTCGGCTTTCAAATATAATTAAATATATTCGACACTAGATGGCGACACTTTGTATTATGGGAACTAAAAATATACATAAAAGTACATAGAGCTCAATTTTGGTAAAATAATCAGAAGGTGCTGAAATTTGTTTTGCATTCAGTCCTAAAGAATTTTTAATCGCCATAATATTATTTTTATAGTTTTTATAATGATTTTGTGACCAGGCCGCCATCTATCGTCTAGGTAACTAAACATTGCAACATCGATATGGAACGATGCGATTAGTTGTACAATTCGTCGGTAAATGGAAAATAGTTAAGTGGGCGGGGCTTAACACCCCCTCACCCCGCAAATTATTATGCGTTGTTACACAGTGAAATCTAATAACACCACCTCCTCTTTGTATTTGCTCCGTAGTCATAAAACCGTGTCTAATGGCTAAACACTCAAACACTACTCAATTTTAAAAAGTCGTTAAGTGTGGTGATGTTACAGTCACTTTAAGTTAAAGTGATAGAGACAGCACGAGACTTAACGGCATTTTAAAATTGAGTAGCGTTTGAGTGTTTGGGTAGTGAACACGACGTTTTGTTGAAAGTCTTAAGGAGTGTTGTAGTAGTGGTGTTGTAGAATGTATGTATGCAGGTGATGGTCACCGGTGGGGTTGGAGCGGAAGCCCTGTACGGTGAGCGGCGCCCGGCGCGCCCGCGGCGGCTCAGCGAGCGGGCCCGCGCCGGCCGTAACGCCCGCGCCCGCCAGCGCCGCCAGCCCGCGCGCCGTCGCCGTGCGCATCGCCGTCAGGTTGCGGTGCCGCAGTCCCCTGCCGCAGTACAACCAATCGATCAATCGATATATTATTTTTAATACAGTTGCTCAAAAGGTGGCGTATTACAGGAACGTATAGCGTTCGGGATGTGGGCTATTACACACTCGAGCTTTTTCTTTACCTTTTCCGAACTCGTGCGTTCTCTTTCCCAACTGTCAAAATAATGTCTATTAAAAAGAAAAAACCAACCACGAAGTTTTTACTAAAAAAATTCATAGAAGTTTTTATGATTCATGCAAATATTTCTAAAAAGAAGCTACTAATATTGTTTTAATATCAGATTTAATGATTTGATTAAATGAGTTAGGATAGGTTTCATTTCATTTCATCTCATTAAATTTCATTCTCATTTCATATCAATAAAAAAAATCTACTGAAGACTTGGCTGTATGGGCATAGTTCCCTTTCCCTACCCAGAATGGG